CTTAATTCAACACTCTCAATTCTCAAAATTCCAGCTCAAGATCTACATACACAAACACGCATTACATATCCCCTGAAACAAAAAAATCAATAAACAAAAAACAACCCAATAAGTTCTTGATTAAAAAGATCAAATTTTTAGCCCCAAGAAGATCAAATGACACAAATGGGTACAGGCAAAACTTACATAAATAATGATTGGAAATGTCATTTCTTGGGAAAATAGATCTGGGGCATATGTATTATAATGTATATGAAGGTTGAGCTGGGGTTAATGCAAATGGTAGTGGTGACAGTTGTGAGATTCGGTGCCTATTTTTGAATTATGTATGATTCTGAGAGATTCGTTGGAAAAGGGAAAGCGGGATTTGATAAGGAAAGGGGCAAACTACAGAAATGGCTTGCTCTCTTTGTTTTCTTTCTTCTTCTTTTTTTCTTTTTATTTTTTATTTTTAAATATTTTCACTTGAGATATTTTTAATGGTAAGTGTAGTATTTGACTTTCTATGTAAGAGGTGATCATTTGTTTTTTTTTTTTTCCTTTTATTTCAATTGTCTGTAAAAGCATTCCTTGAGCAGAATTTCAGTGGATGTTGAAAGTTGAAAGTCACATGGAACCATTTTAAGTGACCAGGATTTATTTTGTCCGTACACATCATGTCCGTACACATCATGGGAGGAGGCCAAAGGTGTAATTTTGTGCAAGTATTGTCTATCTATCTATTATTACATACAATTTACGTTATACTATGTGAGTATTAATAGTTTTTTTTTTTAGAAAAAAGATCCAAATGAAAGAATTGTAAAACCTAAGATGGCTAGACACTTTTCATTTCCTTATGAAGGAATTGACCAAAAGTTCTTTTTCCTTTGCCTTGGTGGTTTCATGTCGCCTTTTTCATTATTTATTTTTTAAATCTATTTTCGAATTTATTGTTCCGTTTTACTTGAACAGTCCTTGTGCAAAAGAGGAAGAGATTCGTTTGGTACAAGAGGTAAGGAATAATTAATTTCGGGATTAATTTATCAAATATTTGGTTGATATTAGTATTTTAATCTCTATAGAAGGATGAGATAACTTATTCCGGAATAATTAATTTTGGGATAATTAATTAGGATAACTTGTTTCCAACCAAACGATGCACGATGCTTAAGAGTAAAAGCTAAACTACTTAAAGACAGTTATTTTGCCTTGCAGTCAAAAAGAAATTATAAATAGCTAATGAGAAAATTAAATTACATGAGAAGTCAAATCCCCTACTCCTCCAATAAAATGTGTGCAACCAAGGATGATCATTGCACTATTTTAATAATATGTGAACATGTATGCACATGGTTACTGGGGAAAAAAATACACATATTCACTCTGAACTTGTATTCAAGTTACAAAATGGATGACCTTTTATCCTCTGTACGTATCCAAAAGATATCTAATTTGAAGATTGGAGATAAAATTGAGATGGATGAAGAAAGAGAGGAAGTCAAATATTCAATTATCGACCAAGATTTCGGGTAAGTTGGCCAACACTTTTTTCAAGTTTAAGAGCAGAGTGTGAGGAACAGGATGTGAGTGGAGAAAAAAAGGAAGAGGACAGGAGCTAGAGGGAAATATATATATATATATATATATATATACTATATTAAAAGCACGAAAATTCTTAACGCTTGTTTGGATGGTTGTTATCTATTGTATTGTATTGTATTATTACTTTAAATACAATGTTTGTTTTGATTGTTACTTAAATTTTATTATATCGTATCGTTAAATCCATCGTTACGTAACGACGAAAAGTGTCACTTTATGAAATGACGGATTTGGTGTGGTGGCGTTGTTTCCTTACTTTTTTCTCTCATCTTGCCCTTCTTTATTATTAAATAATCATATTTTATCATTTACCCTACTTTTTATATAATAATTCTATTTTGTATCCTAATTTTTTTTTAATAATATTACAAGTTTATTCTTCATATTGTTAGTGCGTTGCATCATGAAACGACGGCAAACGATACAATATATCCAAAATATTGTGTTCATCAAACAATACAATACAATGCAGTACAATACAATACGATACATTATGAAACGACATGTAACAACAATCCAAACAAGCTATTAGCGAAATATCGTTCGCCTTTTTTACCCTTTGAAAATAGAGTTCGCATTGGATAAAAAAAGTCATTGTCTTCAAAATCAACTAAATTGTAGGCATTAAATTTTTCATTATTTGCATTACTTTGTAAGAATTCCTAATATATATAGGACTTTAAATTCAATTAAGTCTTACCATATAAAAATCCTTTTCTTATTTAAACTAAAACATGAATATAATATTATTTGTGATATTTAAGGTCGATAAAGTATCTATTATTTTATTTCTTATAACTGAATATTATATAGTTTAAAAATTTAATCTTATTGGTATTTAATATTCCCCAATAAGGACGCAAGATATCAGGAAAATAAAGACAATAGAAAAAAAAATTACAGAAAGTTGTTTCAGACATGGAAACTCCAACACGATTGATTCTTTATTTTTTTGATTTACCACATCGACCTCTGCCATTATATTTTAATCACACCAGAACAATTCATGAAAATTAATTCTTAAGTGTATCTTAAAAGCTTGATTGATAGTTTATATCCCTTTAATTATTTTGATATATATATATATATATATATATATATATATATATATATATATATATATATACAAATAGCATCTACTGCTAGATTTAGAAATAAATTTCGTTAGTCATAAAATTTAATTGATAAATATTTCAGCGAGAACTTCAATGATAATTTATCTTTTTAGCTAGAAAATTTGATTCAATAAAAGTGTTTCTACCCTATTTTTCCAACTAACAGTATCTATTATTAAGTTTAAAAATAATAGTTATTTATTTGCAATAAGGATTCTCAAGTGTCTGTTTGTTTTGTTTCTTTTTCGTTACAATCCGACAAATCTTTTTAGGATATATTTTAACTTAAAAAATCACATATATATCTTTTGAATCCACGGGATACTTACAAATAAAACAGCGGTCACCATGAAAGTAAATATTCATTAGAACTATAATTAATTAAATGGCAGGCAAATACTTTGTACATATAAATCACATTCAAGCCCTTATCTAAAATATTGATCAATTTTTTATCTTTTAAAAATAAATTTCATATTACACAAAATTATAAATTTTAATTAGTTTGAAAGTAGACATTCATTAGAACTATAATTAAATTAAATGGCTCGTAAATACTTTGTACATATCACATTTTTTTATCTATTAAAAATAAATTTTATACTAGAAAAAAATATAAATTTTAATTAGTTTCATAATATTTAGGCTTTTGAGGTCACTTGACATTTTGGTTATAATTTTTTTTTTCTTGTTTAAACTATATGAAAACTCCAAATATAATTTAATTGAGAATGTTTTTACTTATGTAACTCTTTTTCTTATTGGAATTGTGTAAATTACAATAAAATGATCCTTGTTATTCACTTACGAATCACCAAAGAGATTCTTTTTTTCTTCCACCGCCTATAACCTATATTGCTACTTCTATAATTTTCAGCTTATGTTTTTCTCCAAAGTACTATAAGATTGTACCTTAAATTCATTTAGTATTTCTTATATAAAAAGCTTCTAAAAGATTATTTATTTATATCGATACAAATTTAAGTTTAATATATTGACGAAGATAAATTTAAAAAAAAATATGTGAAAGTTTCTTCCTTTATTGAGTTAACTAAACAAGAGCAACAATCATAACTTTTAGAAATTTATACTTTTTTCTTGAATGTACTTCTATTTATAATTCTAATACAATTTTTAATATGATAAATATATGAGTTTTAAAGAAAATTTACTTATTCGAGGTACACGTGCAAAGCACGTACACTAAGTTTAGTATATATATATATATATATATTCTCTTGGCTTCTTAGTAATTCTATTTCTCGATCTTCTTGGTGAAGATCTTACCTCCTCTATTGCATGAAAGATTGCAAAGGAAATGATCAAGACGGAAAAGTGAAGCATGCATCTTTCTTCTTCTCATGCTAAGAATTTTGTGTCTTCTAGTTCTAATAGCCCCCCTAGAATTTCATAAACTCTTGAATGATGGGGATAAGAATATTTGTTTTAGGTGTATTGGAGCACGCCGAGAGTCATCGAGACTTAGGGTACTGTTGACGCATAAGTGTGGGGGAGGTCAAGAGGGTGATGCGTAGGGTGAGCAAGGGTAGAGTTACCGGACCAGACGAGATCCCGGTAGAATTCTGGAAGAGCGGGGGTAAGGCATGCCTGGAATGGTTCTCTAGGTTGTTCAACATCATTTTTAGGACGAACAGGATGCCTGAGGAATGGAGGTGGAGTACGATGATTTCGTTGTACAAAAACAAGGGTGATATACAAAATTGCAATTACTATAGGGGTATCAAACTGCTAAGTCATACGATGAAAGTTTGGGGGAGGGTGGTGTAAGAGAGGGTGAGGAAGAGTGTGTCTATTTTTGAGAACCAGTTCGGTTTCATGTCGAGGCATTCGAATACGGAAGCCATCATCTGGTGAGGAGATTGGTAGAGCAGTATAGGACAATGAAGAAGGACTTACATATGGTGTTCATTGACTTAGAGAAAGCAAATAATAAAGTCCCAAGAAAGGTTATGTGGAGGTTTTTAGAGGTTAAAGGTGTGCTTGTTGCCTAGAGTGATTAAGGACATGTATGATGGAGCTAAGACACGGGTCAGGACAGTGAGAGAAGACTCAGAACACTTCCCAGTTGTGATGAGGTTGCATCAGGGATCAGCCCTTAGCCCATTTTTGTCGTCCTTGGTGATGGATGCATTAACGACACATTCAAGGGGAGGTATCGTGGTGTATATATTTGCAGATGATATAGTTCTGATTGACGAGACTCGAGAAGGTGTTGATGATAGACTGGAGGTTTGGAGGCAGACTCTTTAGTCTAAAGGTTTCAAGTTGTGCAGAACCAAGATGGAGTACTTGGAGTGTAAGTTTAACGAAGTTACTCAGGAAGCGGACATGGGTGTAAGGCTTGATACACAGTTCATCGCTAGGAAAGAAAGTTTCAAGTACCTTGGATCTATAATACAAGGTAACAGGGAGATTGGTAAGGATGTCACGCACTGTATCAGAGTATGATGGATGAAATGGGGGCTCGCTCCCGGTGTCTTGAGTGATAAGAATATGTCGCTGAGACTTAAAGGTAAATTCTATGAGGTAGTATTTAGACCGACTAAGCTGTATAGAGCAGAGTGTTGGCTAGTCAAGAACTCTAATATCCAGAAGATGAAAGTAGCTGAGATGGGGATGTTAAGGTGGATATGTGGGCATACCATATTTGATAAGATTAGGAATGAAGTTATTCGGGATAAGGTGAGAGTGGCCCGTATGGAGGATAAGATGCGAGAGGCGAGGTTGAGATGGTTCGGACATGTTAAGAAGAGAAGCATAGAAGTCCCAGTTAGAAGGTGCGAGAGGTTAGCCTCAGTGGGTATCATGAGGGGTAGAGGTAGGCCTAAGAAGTCTTGGGGAGAGGTGATCAGGCGAGATATGGTGCAGGTGGAGCTGACTAAGGACATGACTCTAGATAGGAGGGTGTGGAGATCGAAGATTAGGGTAAAAAGTTAGTAGGTAGTTGAACATTTCTCTTTGTCTTACTCAGTTTGCTAGCATTAGTGTTAGTATGGTATCCTTTTATTCATTAATTGATATTACTACCTAGAGTTTAACTGCTTTTTTGGCTTTAGTCTTATTTTTATCTTGTTGTTATTTCTACTTATTGCCATTACTGTTTTTCATTCGTTCTTCAGCCGAGGGTATATCAGAAACAACCTCTTTACCCTTCCAGGGTAGGGGTAAGGCTGCGTACATCTTACCCTCCCCAAACCACACTTATGAGAAATTACTAGAATTGTTTTTTGCTGTTGTTATAGTATTTTCCTTGCTTACTTCTTTTTTATTTATTTGTTATTATTTTCCCTATTCGTTGATGGGATAAAGACCTTTTACGTTGACAACTAATGGCCCAAAGGTCTTTATAGTAAAGAGTAAAAACTAACTAGGCTAGTCACTTTTTGAATCGGGTATTAGAGTTTTAGCCATATTTTAAATTGTAATGGTAAAATAGCCACTGGTCCGACTAAATTGACGTTTTTCCCTTTAACTAAAATACGAAACACAACTCAAACAATCGGTCCCGGAGTTCATAGCTTTGGCAGGTGGAACTCGAACATATGTGCTGGAGTTCAAACTCCAGGAACAATTCTTAGTGTTTGAACCTTTACTAGTTCAAACTCCAGAAATTATTCCTAGCGTTTGAGTTTTCGCAGATCTTCTAAAAGCGAAACTCCAGCAATGCGTACTAGAGTTCAGACCTTTAAAGGTGAAACTCCAGCATATGATACTGAAATTCTAAATTGTTTACTCTCGGTCACCTGTATAATTTTCTAGCATTATCATCGTATTTAGTTTTTTGTCCCATGGCAGCAGCTTCTCTAGATATGAAAATATTCAAGTTTGGTTAATGCAATCCCATATCAAGAATATAAGTTCTCAACAAGTTGAGACTTTATCACAAACCACCCGAATTCCTTTCTCTTCAAGAGTTCCAATGCAGCCTCTAAATTACATTATCACAATGACATTATGCATTCGAAACATGACAGTGATTGTGGACACAGAAAGTGATCTAACTTGGGTTCAATGCCAACCTTGTATATTGTGTTATAATCAACCAATACCTCTCTTCAATCCCTCAATTTCATCTTCTTATCAATCAGTTGCATGTAATTCATCAGGTTGTCGAAAAGAATAGGTTTCAATATATGCTGGAATTTTACTTTTTAAAGTTTCGAACTCTAGTATATGGATTTTGAACTTATAAATATTCAAAGTCCAGTAGTCGTTCTTGGAGTTCTTCCGTATTTTAGATAGGAGTATTTTTGTTGTATTTTCACATTTATGAGTAACTATTTTGCCATTATAATTTAAAATATGATTAAACTCTAATAAAAATAAACTATTTACCATTTTTTCACTAGTAAAAAGCATTCGTATCTTTTGGTTCTAACGGTAATATTCGGAGAACAAATTTTTGAATAGTGTAGTGTAATTGGGGAATTTTAGGGGAAAATATAGCAACTCGGTAATTCGAATGATATTACCACTAAAGTATGTAAGCCTTTACACCTTTTTTTATTATTTAATATTAATTAAATTGTTCTCATATACCATTAAGAAGTTTTCTTCATTCAAATAAATAAATTATCTCATAAATTGGTAAATAATATATATATATATATATATATATATGCCGATTGGAGAAAATAAATTGTAAATTCGACCAATTATTTGTGTAAAATGGGGCAAGCCCACGGCTAACGCGCTGTAAGGCCCCGTAAAATTTCGCCTAAAACTCGGGGTTTCGTGGTGTCGAAGTAGGCTTATGTGTTGACGATTGGAGGGATTCTTCATTCAGACTTTTTGGGTTAAACAGTGCGTTGGAGAGTTGAAGAAAATTTTTGAAAGTGCAGGGCATTTCTGCGGTCCATTCTGCGATCGCAGAACTGATCCGCGGACCGCAGATCTGTCGCAGACTGAAGCAGAACTTGAGCAAATTTTTTGACCATTATGTGGTCCATTATGCGGCCGCATAAATCATTTCATGGGCCGCACTATCCATCGCAGACCCAACAAAAGAATTTTTGAGGGAAGTTTTGCGGCGCACTATGCGACCGCAGACTGGTCGCATAGTGGGGGGTAGAAATGCCCAGTTATGGAGGGCCATTATGCGGTCCATTTTACGGACTACATGAGCGTTATGCGGTCGCATATGCGATCACAGATCTGCATATGCGGTCGCAGATCTGCATCGGGGCTTCATTTTTTTAATTTTTATAACTCGACCCTATCTCGATAATTAGATGTAAGATACCATTTTGAAGGGAATATATGATATTTTTAGAGAGAGGAAACACCCTAAAGTGAGAGGTAAAATTCCTAAGTTAATTGTTCATCCAAAATCTTGATCAAGCCTTGAAATTCAACAAGAAAGCTCACAAGGTCTTCAACCAAGAGGTAAGATTCTAGCCCTAACCTTCAATTTCAAAATTTTGTTTGGGAATAGGTAATGAGGAGGAAGGTTTTGAGGATGATGGTTGTTGTTTATGCATGCATGTACATTCATGAGTTGTGGGAAGGTAGTTGAACTCAAACGGGTAGACTTTGAGTTGTGGGGTGAAGGAAATCCTCCATAGGAGAAGCTAGTAATAATAATGCCCACATAGTATTTGATAAAATGCTCAAATGAGGTGGAAACATGAACTCCTCCCTAATTTGTGTTCAATTTGGCCATATCTCTAAATAGATCAAAGTTTATAGGATTTCCGGAATGGTGTAGTGAATTAAGGAAAGCTCAAAGCGAAATATGTTGGCTAAACTTCTCTCTTAGAATTGAATCCCACGATGATCTTGTAAGTCCCGAGTTGTTCATTATAAATTGACTATTCTGAATAAGCCTTGTGTCGAAAGATATATGTTCAATATGTATTCCAATGTTCTTGTTATGTTATATTCTATTTGAAAATGTGCTCGAAGCATGGGTTGCATATCCAAATATTATATCTTTAAGTTGTGATTTAAATGAAGGCTATTATGTCAAATTGTGTAAGAAATCTCAATGTGTTTAACATTCTTATTTGCTCAATATGTGGATTTAAAGTCTTTAATAGAAATGCTTTGTTGTTGATGACCCGTGATGATATTTGAAAGTGAAAGAAGAGAGTATGAGATATGAAGTACGACCATCGTGCCAAGAATGAGATTGCGTTATGGCCAATAGTGCCAATAAAATGAAAAAATGTGTAAAATATTATGAGATGGGTTTTGACTCCTTTATATAATAATGTCATTAATGTCCTATAATCATCCATGGCAAGTACAAGTAAGTGATAGTACGAACATGAACTGTGGCCGCTTGCCGAAATAAGAATCATGAGGCACTGTATGTTGCAATGGCTTCAACTATAGTTTGTATGCTTCTAAAATAATGAATATAAATTACTTCGATGTTAGGTCACCGAGAATCATGAACTTAGCCGGTGTCATTAAGATGACAAGGAGTTATATAATGAGGTGGAAAAGGGACGTCCAATGCTAAATGACGATGAACCTTAGGAAAAGAAATTGGGTCCATGCACCATTGATATCTACTTAGTGATTTGACATGCATGTGTTAATGTAATAAACTGTATTTCTCCATGATAAGTATGAACATGAGGTATCCCAATGATCCGGAAACTTACGACCTTAACGATAATGTTAATCATGTCGCTTGAGTGTAAATATGGGCGTGTACATGATGGTATAATATGTTAATCCTATGGACGGTCTATGAAACACATAGGTGTATAATATGAATGAATCCCTATGGACGGTCTATGAAACGCATATGTGTATTATATGAATGAATCCTGATGGACGGTCCATGAAATGCATAGATGTATAATATGAATGAAACCCTATGGATGATCTATGAAACGCATAGGTGTATAACATAATATGTGAACTCTATGGACGGTTTATGAAACACATAGGTGTATAACATAATATGTGAACCTTATGGGCGGTATGGTAAGACGCATGAGCAGCACGAACAATAATGCCACTTTCATTGCCCTTGTTTGTATGTGCTGATACTTTTATATTACATTTTGTATCCCACACATAGTTCATAGGGCACGCTTGATCCTAAGAGAAGTTCAGAATGATGTAAGTATAATAAGACTTGACATGTGATGCTATGGGTCATTTCGTAGTTTCTTGACGTAATTTATTTGCCTCTTATTTGAGTTATCGTGTTTCCATATGTTGTTCTGTCTGCCTTACATACGAGTACTATTTCACATGTACTCACGTCCCTTTGCCGGGGGTGCTGCATCTTTTAATGGATGTAGGTGGTTCCATAACAAGCGACATCGATCAGTGATAGCAGTACATCCTCCTTTCAGCTGACTTGGTGAGTCCCACTTCATATCGAGGTCATGTATATTTTGTTTCTCATGTATTGCATTTTGAGGTATAGTCCGGACCTTGTTGCCGGCATTATCCTAGTACTCTTTTGTACCCGTTAGAGGTTCCGTAGACATAGTGTGAGTTGTATCTGTTTATGAGAAGGTTAAACTAAAAATGATGTACTTATATCATCTGTTCCACTTTAACTATGATTGTACAATGTACTGTTTTGGAGACTTGTTAATGACGTAACTAATGGAAATGAACTGGTGTTATTCACATGACCTCTTACTGTCTAATTAATGAAATGTATCTTCTCTTTATTCATGGGCGAGTTGGGTAGAAGGTACTGCACATGCTTGCTCGATCGGGATATCTCGGTTGAGCGCCGGTCACGCTCCCCGTGGTCGGGACGTGACACCCGCTGTCCGCTTAGAGTTGAGCTAGGCTAGCATTTTGAGGCCCTTTCAAATGAAGGGTCGGACTAGGGCCGGCTTACTGAATTCCCCAACTCGCTCAGTGTGATGGCTCTAATTATTTAATTGATAATTTAAAATTTTGGACTAAGAATTTGTATGTATTATGCAGAAAGTACAAAAATTCGTTTCATCTATGTTGTGTTAGTTTAGAATTTAACGAAAGGGTTGCTCGGTTAAGAATAAGTTATTCAGGATTATAATGACGACATTCTAATATCTAAATCAAATAATAATGTGACTATATTATAAATGTACATTATTGGTAGATATTTGGTTCATTAAACTTAATATGGGATAAACGTGGCATGTATTTAGTTTAAACTAGATAAAATGAGATAAACATGTATTTTTAATTTTAATCTTGAATATTTAGAAGACTTTGGCGAAAAGCTTTAGAAATGGGCAAATAGGCCATCTTGACAAGAGTGAGTTGCTCTAGTATTAAACACCCTCCACTTTCAACCAAGATATTGTAAGTTCGAGTCACCCCAAGAGCAAGGTGGGTAGTTCTTGGAGGGAGGGAGCCGAGGGTCTATCGGAAACAGCCTCTCTACCTCAGGGTAGGGTTGTTGTTTTTGTTGTTGAGTGCGTATAGGAATAATACCACTATTTTGTGGTATAAACAATCACTATATTACTAATTCCCGAATAAAAAGTTATACATAACATGAAATAACATAACTCACAATTATAGTCTATTTGGTCATACTTCTAAAATCAATTTATTTTTAAAAGTTTTTTTAAAGTTTTTTTTTCAAAAAATACTTTTGGTAGAAAACAGTTTATGTTTGGCTTATCAATTTGAAAAGCACTTTTGAATAGCAATTAGTGTTTGACTATATTTTTAAAAAGTGCTTCTAAGGTTATTTTCCTCAAAAATGCTTTTCAAAAAAATTATTTTAGGAAGAAACTACATTTTTCTGCTTCTCAAACACTACTTTTTTTTTTACTCAAAAATATTTTTTTCCTTTTAAAAACTAGGTCAAACACCTTAACTTTACAAAATAATATTTTTGCAGAAAAAACACTTTTGGCTAAATGTCCCATGAACCAAACTACCCCTAGAAATGTAACTTTATTTTACTCAAGGACTATATAAGCGGTTGAAAAAGAAATGAAAGGACTATACATGGTCAGAGGTAAATATAAAGGACAATTTTAAACATACCCCAGTAGTTAAAAGGACCCATGTTGTCATTTCCTCCCTAGTCCCTTCTTCTCTGTGGTCAAATTTTCTGGTTCAATTCTACTCCGATGAATAAGATGGTAAAACCAGCGGATTCCGCCGCTGCCGCCGGTGCTATGCCGCGGTCAGAACCTCTCGAGATACATTCCCAGGAATCGATATTTGTCAATCTTCGCAAACTCTCCGACGGCCTCTCTGCGTTCCAGCGATGCTTGACTGATCTAGAACAACACATTGATTCCGTCCGGACCTCAATCGGCTCCTCTATGCTACTACTGCGAAACAATGAACAGTCAACTAATAACACTCCGTCAGCAGCGGCACTCACACCCCCACAGCCAGAACCAGAACCAGAACCATCTTGTGAATCTGACCCTTCTGAGGTGGAAGATGAAGATGAAGATGAAGAGGAAGAGGAAGAGGAAGAGGAAGAGGAGGAGGAGGAGGAGGAGGAGGAGGAGGAGGAAGCGAAATCCCCTTGTCGTTCAGAGCTGGAAATCCTGTGCGAAACGATGAACAGCATTGGTCTGAAGGAATACATGATAACGCATCTCTCAGATATAAATGGACTGCGTGAACAAGTCCCTAAGGCATTGAAACTCTCGCCCAATCCTGCTAGGCTTGTATCGGAATGTATTAACAAGGGGGAAAGCGAGAGGTATGTTAATAGCTCAAGATCATTAGCTTCTGTATTGGCTTTGGAGTGCTTGTTGTTGGCTGCTGTTGAGAATGACAAAGGGGCTAAGGAAGACGCGGAGCTGGCAGCTTTAGCATGGCGGGAGAGAATGATTTGCCAAGGAGGAGTAATAAAGGCTCACGAAATGGATGCCCGAGGTTTGTTGTTGCTCATTGGGTGTTTCGGGATTCCACAAGCATTTACAAATCTGGACATCAGATATTTGGTTACGGTTAGTGATGCCTGGGTAATTGCTGGTGCCCTCAGGAGATCAAGTGTTCTCATGGAAAAGATCCCAGAAATAATTGAGTGGATGTTGAAGCAAAATATAGTAGTTGAGGCCGTTGACATTGCCTATACTTTTGGAATGGAGGGGAGATTTAACCCTCGTAGACACTTGACATCATTTTTACATAACTCTGAAGTGTCATTATTGAACAACGCTAAGGGTCTTGAACAAGGTATTACTGTGCGTTCAGATAAAAAGAAGCACTTGTCTCATCTGAAATCTGTCAGCGAATGTTTGGGACGTCACAAGATTGATCCTTCGAAACTCCTTCCTGGGTGGCAAATCAATACGAGAATAATGAACTTGGAAAAAGAAATTGCTGAATTGAATAAGCATATAGGTGAGAAAGAACTTGCTGAATTGACTATGCGTATAGGTGATCAGAAGATGGCACAAAAGAGAAAAAATGATGAGATTGAGTCGTCGTCTTCTGGTAGTTTCAGCAACAAAGAAATGAGACACTCACATTTTCCAAATCCAAATCCATGGCCACCACAACAACAAAGAGTTGTTAATCATGTTGCTGATAGCAATAACACCTTATTAGGAGGTGGTGGAACTGCTGGCCACATTTATGGTTATTCTCTATCCCCATCAGTATTGCATGGAACTGTTGCAGGCTCGATACACGAAAATGTTGTTGGCTCACTGGCAGGACCTGTGGGAGGTGTTGTGGCCATGGATGGAGCTGGTGCAGGTAAATCAGTGCAAGGAGGTTTAGGTGTTGATCATATACCCGGGCAAATAGGAGGTCATATTGGTCAGTTATATGGATCGCATGGTGATGCAGCCGTGTATGACAAACTGGCGTCCCACAGCTATGCTTATAGGCCATCATCCTACTTGGAAGGCTCAAGCTCTACGGGATTGCCAAGCACCATTCCCGGTGATGCCTATAGGCCAACATACACCGAAAGCTCTAAGGCGTTTCCAAACACCATATCTGGTGATGCCAATAGGCCACCACCATACTTGGGAGGCTCTGCGGGGTTGCCAAACACCATAGCTGGTGACGCTTACAGGCCTCCACCATACTTGGAAGGCTCTATAGGGTTGCCAAACACCATACCTGCACCATATCAGTTTGCTGATACTGTTCCAGCAACTGAAATACACCGAAGCAGTGGCTCACGAGCAGTTGATCATGTTCCATCTGCTGCAGTTGCTCATCCTTCATCCTACTTGTACTGGAAGAGATAGTTTTGTGTTGGGCAGGCATTACTTTCTACCTTAGTTTCCCTCCTTGTAGTATAGCCAGTGTAGAAGTGATTTTGTGCACAGTCTCCTTTTTTTTTTTTAAAATTTATATTTCATGAGCTACTAAAAACCTCTGGCCAGTTTTCAAGGCTTAGCATAAAGACGTCTCAATTCAACCTGGAAAAATGTCATATGTCCGGAAAGATTTAAAACTTACAATATAAAAAACCACGCAAAAGCAATAAATAACTGATTAACTTCCCTTTACTTTCTCCTGCATTTCATTTCCCTCCCTTCTATCAAACATGGTCTTTTAACATTTCTTTGCTTTTACTTTCCCTCATCCAGTCAAGCTGGTCACACTGGTTCCTTGGAAAATCCAAGGTCATGGGTTCGATTCCTCAAGCATGCATCTTCCTCTTTTTCCAAGTTCTTGTTTTTTTGCCCGAGATGAAATTAAATGGAGAAACATGGTTAGTGAGGATTCATATAGCCAATCCCGCTTTGTTGGGACTGAGTCGTAGTTGTTGTTTGTTGTTTTTCTGATCTGTTCAATTGTTGACAGTCTATGTGGGCATGCACACTTGTATATCCTGTTTGTCTCTTCATTCATACGGGTAAATGTTGGACCTGCATCTTTTTAGCTGTTCCTTTGGTGGTATAAAATGATATACTTTTCTTGTATTTAGTTTTCAATGTGTTGAACTTTTGATTTTCTTGTATGGATTGTCTGCACAAGGTTGTAATTTATTGCTTGCTGTGAAGTGTCTGATCTTTGGCCATTGAGCTATTCAGCCTGAGAATCTGAGCATGATTCTCATATTTATTGTCTAGAAGATACTTTTTTTGTAGTTGACCTTCAACATATGAGCCAATCCTTTTGACTTGGGATTTGGGAATTAAATTTTTATCTGTGTTTCGTTGCTTAACTAGGTGATTGTGTGTGTTATATTTGATTGCTGTGATGTGGAACGGCTGAAGGTGATGTAGAATGGCTGTGATGCAGAACGGCTAAAGGTGGTTGAGTCTGTTATATTCAATTGTTGTTATTCTAACTTTGCTTCTTAGTTTTGGGCTGCAGATACACATTATCTGGAAATCACATTTACAATTTGTTTTTGGTTTTGTATTTCATACTGCAGGTAGAGTTTGACTTCATTAACATCTGCAAGTTTTTTTCTATGCAGTCCACCTGTTGCAATGCATATAACATTTTTATTGCTCCTGAAGTCAAAGTCTTTCTTAGTCATAAAAACACCTTTTTGTTTCCCGGTGGTTACAGAGGGAACTCCACTTGTGTGAGCTTGCTCACATTGACCGGTCCTAAGTAGACAACCAGCAAACTAGTCAATATACTGAATCCTCACATTACAAGATAAGACAGACTAAAATTTATCGACATGGACATTGAGAATTTACATAGCCGATCTCAACTTGCCTGGGGTTGAAGTGTAGTTGTTTGTTAGTTACAGGGGGGATTGATGGGCAAAACCTTGGCCTGAAGTGTTGAAAAAGCAATCTTTGACCTCAGGATTGTCCATAAATTATACCCTTGACCATCAAGCCCACCCTTTCTGATCGTACATATTCCCACTAGTAAAAATAATGTGTAGAAATCTATTCCTGTTGGTTAATTGGTTTTGGATTGTGTAGAAAAGACATGCCAAATATATTAAATTGATGCACTTTTGGATTTTTAATGGAAGTGATTGTGCTCTGTGATATTTCCTGGTTTACTCAATGGCTGGACTCTTGATAATGAATCTTATGATGTGGAGGGTAGTTACTTAAATGGTTTGACTAGAAAGCTTCTTGCTTGTTAGAATGTTATTTGTTACTTATATAGTACTATCTTGTTGGTAATTATTTTTTTTGATAATCTAGTATCTTGTTTAGTAATATATTTAATTTCAATATTCGGTGCTTCTTGCATGAGTTTAGCATATTTGATGGACCTGTTTTTTTTCTTATCTGGTTAATGTATTGTCTGGTTTGCTAAGATCAAGAATAGTAGGTTTAGCTTTTTAGACATTTGACATTTATTATTTTTCAGTTGAGGATAAGGCAGCAGCGTGTATTTGGTTGTACACCGGTTGAGGGGCGGGGGTTTCTGCTGGATTGGTTGTACACCGGTGTGTATAAATCATTTTCATCTGGATGATTCAGGCTACTAATAGGGAAAGAAATTGCGGGTGATGGTGTGATTTTGAAAATCCCTTGCTTATTTATTCTGTTATTGGTACGATTGATGGAACCGTCATTCAAACGCCAGTGTATTTATTTGATTGTCTCTATCTCTCTACTTTTAACCAGGATAACGAGTATATTAAATTTATGAATAAATTTGGCATGTCACGTGTTTGTATAATATATTCCTCATTCCGTGCTGTGAAGTAGTTTTCGTTACTATTTGTTGTATATTCGTTGGTCACCATTGATGGTTGGTTGGCGCGAATATGAATGAGAGAGCTTTGGTTCCTTCCTTTGGTAAGTACCAATAAATACATAGTCTTCACGTGTGTGTATTTTACAGGTATTTCTCGCTTCATGCGGTGCTACAATTTTCCTGTAACATTTGTTGTTTATTTGGTGTTTCAGGTACTAAAAGTCGCTTTCTGTTGGTTAGCAGTTTACGTTTGTTGGAAAAAATACGCATGAGAGAACTCGGGCTCCTTTCTATGGTAATAATCAATATATTTCATCGTGCACCCGCCTCTACTCCTTATAGTTGTGTGTTGCATATACAGATCATACAATGCCACCATTGATTTTTGTTGCGGCAAATCCTTGGCATTTCAAAAGTCCTTTTTGCAGTGATGTAATGGGTGTAATATGATAAATCATGACTGCTTGTTTCTCCCCCACCTTTTTTTTGGTAATGGCAGTGCGTGCCAATGTGCAAGGCCTTGATCTCTTGCTTTATCTCCCTCCGTCTGTTTTCAGGTTTGTAATAACAGAGTATCAAAACTATCATAAATGTTATCTTCGACAACTCTTGTATAACTTCTTATTGTGTTTCCTGATCATTATCTATGACTTCATGATCTGGCCCTCACTGAAATACTATATTCTTGGTTTATATAGTGATTCATGGGACTATATTTGAGATTCTCACCAGATTTGATATAGCAAAAAGCCAACGATTGCCCAGAACTTGATCAAATGTTATTTGATGTAAATATTCCTGCAGCTTCTCAAGTTACCCGAGATTCCAAACTTTTCTATTGAAGAGCCAAGTTGGTCGATCAAGGGCAAAACTGCCATTTAGGTCATAGCAAAAAGCCAACGATTGCCCAGAACTTGATCAAATGTTATTTGATGTAAATATTCCTGCANCGGCGTTTTATCTTCATTTCACTCCTACAGCCAACCTATCTATCTCTTTCACCAGTTTCACTGAACGACCACCTCTTCACCTTTCGTTTCCGGTATGTCTGGTATTTTCTTTGTTTGTTCCTTTTCATTTTGCCCATGTAATGGTGTATATACTAATGGTGCAAGAGTATAGACACCATGTAAGAGTATCTATGGGCTGATTTAGCCCAACAACTATGTAGACTCCCAATCTTTCCAGCTACCAGCGTGAGATGTTGTTCGCACACCCAACAATCTTCCCCTCAAGTTTAGTTCCACTTGGCCTATTGCCTCAATCTACGGGCCAATTTTCGAGACTCACTGTGTGGCACTCACAATGTTAGACTATTATGGCAAGCAAAGCCTGCAATTAGCTTCCTCTTGTGTGCGTCTCCAAGCTTGTAAAGGTAAGCAAACCGAGCCCCACACCGCCACTCCGCCATCGCCATATTCGCCCCTCCGAAGTCCGAACTTGGGCTCTAATACCAGTTGTTTGGCTCAACCAATCCGAAGATACTAATGGTGTGATATTATCCGCTTTGGGCCAAGTCTGCCCGATTTTTTTCAAAAGCCCTTACACCATTAAGAGATCCCTACACCTTATATGTAGGCTCCTAATCTTTTCAGCTACCAATGTGGGACTTTATTCGCACACCCAACAATCTCTCCCTCGAACTAGGTTCCACGTGGTCCATCACGACCCACGGGTCTCCCATGAGATTCACTGTGTGCCACCCACATTGTCAGAGTATTATGGCAACCGAAGCCCAGAACTAGCTTTTTCTTGTGTGTGCGTCTCCAAGCTTGTAAGGGTAAGCAAACCGAGCCACATACCATTACTCCGCCATCGCTATGTTCCCCCCTCCGAACTTGGGCTCTAATACCAGTTGTTGGGCTCAACCAACCCGAAGATACTAATGGTTATGAAGTTTTAAAATGCACAAGAGGAAAGATGATTTTATTCATGAACAATAGGCTCTTTATATAGCAGATACAAACGGAAATACATTAAAGGTGGAACAAACTATGTGATAAGATTCTGTACAGTAGGATACGCTAGAATACAAGAAACTAACAAAATCCTAAACCTAGAAAATAGGAAGCTAATAACAAACTCCTAAACTGAAGGATATCAATTGTTATCCTTTAATACGCCCCCGCAAGTTGGGGGTGACTGGAACAAGCCCCAAATTGTGAAAATTGCGCAGAAAAGTGGTACGCAGAAGAGGCTTTGTGAGGATGTCGGCAACTTGATCAGCAGAGTGAAGGTGACGAACCTCAAGTGCTTTTTGTTGAACTTGCTCGGGAACAAAATGGAAGTCAATAGCTACATGTTTCATCCTACTGTGAAAAACTGGATTAGCACAAATGTAGGTGGTACTAACGTTGTCACAGAGGACTGTTGGTGGAGTAGACAGTGGGAAATGAAGCTCATGGAGCAAATTCGTGAGCCAATTAACTTCAGAAACAACAGCAGCAACAACTCGGTACTCAGCTTCCGTGGATGAGCGTAAAACAAACCTTTGCTTTTTGGAAGACCAAGAGATTGGTGAGTTTCCAAGGTAGACAACATAACCTGTTGTTGATGTTCTGTCTTGTGGATTTCCAGCCCAATCAGAGTCAGAATAAACAAGTAAACGATCTGTTGGTTGTCGACATAGCTTAACTCCCATTGTGCTGGTGTGTTTCAGGTAGCGCAACAAACGTTTGATAGCTTTCCAGTGAGACACTTTTGGATAATGCATAAACTGAGACAACTTGCTAATAGCAAACCCGATGTCAGGCCTAGTGAAGGATAGGTAGTGAAGCTTACCAATGATTTTCTTGTAAAGTGAAATGTCAACAGCAAAATCAGCTTCAGAATCAGCGAAGGAGCAGGTTGATGTCATCGGTGTTGGGACACCCTTGCATTCAGCCATATGCAATTCATCCCGAAGATCCATGACATATTTGTGTTGAGACAAATATATGGCAGTTGGCGTTGATAGTACTTCAACACCCAAAAAAAAATGCAAGAGCCCAAGATCTTTTAGAGAGAATCATTGAGAAAGAGTATCAATGATGGACCTGACACTTCTTCCAATATTACTCGTAATAATTATGTCATCAACATATATGAGAATGTAGACAGTAACCTCTAAAATGTGAAGGATAAACAAAGATGAGTCAGATTTGGATTTAACAAACCCAATACTTGTCAAATAGTTGGTGAGCTCGGTGTACCACGCCCTAGGAGCCTGCTTAAGTCTGTATATTGTTTTTTTTAGCTTGCAAACATATGTTGAATGTTCAGAGGACTCGAAACCAGGAGGTTGTTTCATGTGCACTTTTTCTTCAAGTCTGCCTTGTAAGAAGGCATTATTGACATCCAACTGATGAATAGGACATGAGCGTTGGCCAGCAATTGCAAGGGCCAAACAGACTATTACGGGCTTGACAACGGGGCTGAATGTTGAATGATAATCCAACTAAGGCCTTTGCGTGAAACCTTTGGCTACTAGGCGAGCCTTATACCTGTCAATGCTTCCATCGGGTTTATGTTTAACTCTAAACAACCACTTACAATCTACAACATTCCGAGAGGGATCACTGGGAACCAAATCCCACGTCTGATTTCTTATTAGAGCATCATATTCTGCTTTCATCGCTTCTTTCCAATGGGGATATAGTTGTGCTTGACGGTAGGAGCGGGGATTGGTGGTGAGAGGTTGGTTTTGGCAAGAAAAGTCTTGGGTTTCAGGCTATTTATTTTTGATCGGGTAACCATGGGATGAGGAAGGGTGGCTAGTTTTGGTTGCGATGGAGGAGAAAGAACGTGTTGGGGTTGGGATTCTATGGGTGGCTGTGGTTGAGGGGCTTGGACATATGTGGTAACTTTAGAGATCCGACGGCTATAGGTTTGGATAATGGGTGGTTTACTTTTTGCCGCATGAGGATGGAGGATGGGTTGAGTAGGGGAGGAATAATCAGAGGTGCTAGTTGGATTGTTGGGATAAGGAAGAGAATTACCTGAGCTCTGTGACGCTGCTGGAGAAGGAACAAAGCAGGACTTTTGTATACACGTAGACAACGACAAAGGTAGTTCAAAACAATGCGACTCTGTTGGGATCTCTCTCTGTGTGCCTTTTAGTGAAGATACGTCATCCCAAATAATTTTTAAATTCAGATTTTTATAATTAGAAAAAATATTGGCAAAAGGATAATTATTTTCAACAAATACTACATCTCTCGAAAGATAAACTTTGGAAGTGGTTGGGTCAAAGCATTGATGGCAATAATATTTATTTGAAAATCCCAAATAAACATAGGGCTTTGATTTTGAATCAAGCTTATTTTGTGAATACGATTTTAGCCACGGATAACATAAACAACCAAATTTTTTGATGTTTTCATAATTTGGTGATTCTTGAAATAAAATCTCATATGGAGACTTGTCTTTCAAAATTGGAGTTATCATTCTGTTAATGAGAAAAACAGCTTGATGACATGCAAAACTCCAAAATGTGGCTGGTAATGAAGCTTGGTGCATTAGAGTTTTGGCAGTCTCGACGACATGGCGATGACGTCGTTCTACCAGAGCAACTCTTTGTGGAGTATAAGGTGGGGAAATTAGGTGTTCGATGCCTTGTGATTTTAAATATGAAGTTAAGCTTTGAAATTCACCTCCATCTGTGTAAAAAGATACTCCCTCCATTCCAATTTATGTGAACCTGTTTGACTGGGCACAGAGTTTAAGAAAAAATGAAGACTTATGGAATTTGTGGTCCTAAACAATTCAAAAAAGGGCCCAGAGCATTTGTGTGGTTATAAAAACTTCTCATTAAGGATAGAATTGTAAGTTTAAGCAAATTTGTTTTCAAATTTAGAAAGGGGTCATTCTTTTTAGAACGGACCAAAAAAGAAATAGGTTCACATAAACTGGAACGGAGGTAGTAGTATTTTTGTTTGAAACCGACGTTCAAGCAAAGGATGTAGTGTTTTGAAAACATGTAAAACCTCATTTTTGATCTGTATTGTTTGGAGCCACATGTACTTTAAAAATTGATCGACGAATAAAACATAATATTTTTTTCTATCAATAGACAAAACTGGTGAAGGCCCACATAAATCACTATAAATAATTTATAGCGGCCTTTGACTCTGCAAAGAACTTGTCGAAAAAGATTGCATGTGGCTTTTATTTGATTGGCATGAATTACAAATCGAAAGAGTCTTTCATAACTGGAATGAAAAAAAAAATTCAAAAATATATCTAAATTATGGCGTGTTGGATGCCCCAAACGCTGATGCCACAAATCTAAAGGCATAGCCACATTGCATTGCGGTTGAGAAGAAGGGTTGTCTAGCGGCCATTCATAAAGTCGTCCTCTACTCCGTCTTTGAACTAGCTGCTCCCCCGTACTCAGATCCTTCACAAGATAAGAGAATGGAAAGAATTCAATGGATGTTTTATTGTCACGGCAAAATTGGGAAACTGAAATTAAGTTGTTGGCAATTGAAGGAGAGCAAAGGATATTAGATAACTGAAAGCGAGAATTAGCTGCATATAAATCAGTGTTACCAGTGTGAGAAATTGGTATGGTGTTACCATTTCCCATAGCAATCTCTTCTGGACCATTGTAGTCATTAATGTTTGTAGTCCAATGCGGTCACATAACTGGCACACTAAGTTGCTGTCTTGCTGATTGGCACGATGATTGC